CCGTGAATTATATTCAAAAGGTTACTTCTCCCACAGTTTTGGTCTGATTTCAATATAACTGCCACACAAATAGACTCCCTTTGCTACATACGAAGGTTGTCCGGTAAAATCATGGACAAGTAGTCTTGAGTGAAAAATAATCAACAATGCTTACTTAAGTTTTCCCTTCTCTTTAGTACATTTTTTATCAATATACATAGCAAATTTCAAAGAGTTATATGCTCAAATAAACAAAATATGGGATTTTTTGTAATGTATGGTATAGGCTTACGGCGCACGGATAATAACCACAAAATTTCTGACTTAAAAAATTTGGATAAGCCCCACTTCAATTCCTAGAATTTTCCTGACACACACACTCGAGTTCTCCTTTATTCCTCCATATGTTTTGATCTACCGGGGGGCTCGATCAAAAAGCTCCCGTTTAAAAAAATGCTCAGTCCACTTGTATTCTAATGTGTAAGTGATATTTTTATATTTTGTTATATTCTGTTATCATTTAAAGTCTCTCAACTGATCTTTTATTATAAAACATCGTCATTTTTGTGTGCTGCGTTTACCACTTTCCAATTTCAAAATCTCGGAAAACTGCGAAAATAAAGCAAATTTCTTGAAATTTTCCAAATGACGACAAAATAGAAGGGACTTAAAAATAATTTAATTTCTATCCCAATCTTATCTATTAATTATTTTTATTTCGAAATAATATTGGAATATTCCTTGATAAAACACTGCTTTTTTGGTCGTGCGCCGCAGGGAAGTACCCCGTGTACATTCAAGTATAATAAATTCCTTATTTAAAATTTTGAATATAATTATTAAAAATACTAAGATGTGCTTAAATATGATAAACATTTGCCTGAAAAGTTCAGCTCAGTGCGTGCATTAGTTTTCGATAAAAACGCGATGTCCACAGTTTTTTCTGGACAACCCTCGTAATACTTTATATCAATATTTTGATTCAAATGTGATGCCATGCGTGGTTACTAAAATTTGATTTTTTTAAAATGCTACTCCTCTTACAGTTTTGCTCTGATTTCAATATAAATTTGCATACAAGAAGACAAAACTAAGGTATTTAATTCTGTGTATTGATTTTCGATTTCGATGAAGGATGTTGCCATGGTTACTAAATTAGAAATTTCTGTGAAATTCTTTGAAATATCTACCTCCTTCAGTTTTCGTCTGATTTCAGCATAACTTTCAGTAGACTACATTAAGATTCATACTTCTTTACGTAAGTTTTGATGAATGGCGTTGCCATGATTATTACAGATAAAAATTTCTGTGAAATATTTTCAAACCGCTGCTCCTCCTATAGTTTTGGACTAATTTCAGTATAACTTAGCAAACATGTAGACTACACTGTGATACATAAATTTATTTTTTTTTTTTATTGGTTTTTACTTTCGACGAATAGTGTTGCAATGGTTACATGTACTATCAAAATAAATTATTGTACTATTAAAGGATGTCTTGTTAAAGGCTACACCCTATAAATCTTTTGTCTAATTACAATAAATCTTGCCACAAAAAGAGGCTAAACTGAAACCCCATTCACATGCCCCTATTTACACTCGGTGAGCAAATTTCACATTTATGCAAATTTTGCACCTGGTTATTTCTAAGAGAATGTGAACTGGACGTAAGCTTGATTTGCACATGAGCATTTTTACTCCTAGTACAACATTTACATCTAGTCAGACTAGATGCAAACTAACTTTAATTTACTCCTGGTGTATTTTCAGTTCTGTGAAAGCGTAGCAAAATTTACACTAGACTAGAAACATTGCAGTTGTCTTTAAAATAAAGTTTTTTAGCATTTTGAAAGAATTTAACAATAATGCTATTTTATGAACAATGACAACAACATGCAATCAAAAACTGATAAACAAAATTATGTATTATGTATCTTAGTGTAGTTTACCTTTGTACCAAATGAAAATTCAGACCAAAACTGTTGTAGGCGTATTTTAAATCTTAAAACACGACGGACACCTTACTCATGCATAAGCTATTCTTGTCTCTGAACAGTATTGGTACGAACATGGTTCGCATAAGATCACTATCAAAAATTAACGAGAATTAACAGTTGCAATTGTTGCAGGAAATATACAGAACCTACGTAAGTGTGTTTGGTAAATTTATCTGCATGAGTTGTAATCGTTAATCCCAAATTAAAACATTGGAAGGCATTCCTTTGTATATATATATATATATATATATATATATATATATATATATATATATATATATATATATATATATATATATATATATATATATATATATATATATATATATATATATATATATATATATATATATATATATATACATTTATATATATGTCTGTACAATAAATCAAACAAAGAAGGTTAAAGTACAAATTCTGCAGGGTAAAGTTTTTAAAGCAGGTTAAAGTTTTTGGAGGAGAGAAACTATAAGCACTTGTTGACGAGACATGCTTCATAATTCATCTTCGGATGCACACTACCAAACTTGCTTCAGATGCTGGATCTGACCTACATTTTCTTGATGAGTGATAAGGTTGGAAATTTTTTACCGTATCTCAAACATGAAATGGCTTCTACATATGAGTGAAAAATTCTCAGGAGGGACGGTAAACAACAAGCAACAAAATATTCCATTTAACTATAAGTCTTTCATGACCAAACATGCACCGATGATGCATTTAGGGTTGCACATTACCAGAAATGGTACAGATGCCGGATATTACTTACATTTTCCGACTGATTGAACAAAAACATGTTTGAGAATAAGTCAATTCCTTAAAGTTATTTATCAAGCATATGGTTATAAACTGAGAAAATTTATCTTAGCCATTCTTTCTCCATTCTCACTCCAATCTGATTCACATATATTTTCGTGTGGTTGATATACATGTAAGGATACGTAGATTTGTTTTAAAGTCTGGATGTTATGGTGTATTTTTCTTTAGGAAATAGGATTCAAAACATTTCTTTTGTATTTACACATGCATTTTGAACTGCGACTCTACTCTAGAAAATCAAATAATGAGGTCATACAAGTGACTAGAGTTGGTGAAGCAACATTAGTATCTTTACAGAGAGTTGGGAAGCTCGAGGAAAAAGGTCCTGATTGGATTGTCTCAGTTATGCTGAAAATTAAACATAATGCAGATCTTTATGTAGGTAAATACTTCTTACCTTCAGAATGAAAAGAGACACTCAATGTATTAAAGTTTTTTTTATCGTTCGGGTATTTATATAATCACCGCTTTCATGAAATAATTTGACTTTGATCTTTATTATTTATATCATTAGATATAATGTACATTGCAAAAGGATTCTTTTAAATCAACTTCAAAAAAACTATATACAGTTGTATTTTTTTTTATCTTACCAACATTTAATTCCGAATTTTTAATTTCCATTTTTTTTAAAATTCAGTTTGATGATATTGCAGTATATTTTTACAATACATTAAGCACTATAACTTCAACTGCTGAAAATGTATTGCAAACAGTTTAATACCTATATGTGACAGTTTATCTACAACATGTCTTTATATCTTTACATTTGCATTTTTATGTATGAGAAAATGCTTTATACTGATTATAAAATTTAAGTTAAAACTGTAGATTAAATTTAATTTTCAAACCTCCTTTCTATATGGTATATATACGTTTTATAAGTTAAAGTCATCCTCTTCTGAAAAAAAAAACTTACAATTAAGACACGAGAAAAATCATGCACCTTAAAAAGCATTCACATGAAATAAATGTCATTAATTTTCTGTAAAAAAATGTTGAAATTGGTTATTTGATGTTTTATTCACATTTATCATATTTCATTTATGATTTTGACGTTGAAAAATCTCCATTATCCCCTTTTAAAAATGCACACTCCAAAAATGTAGGGAAGGGGGTATACTTAAAATTTTAATTATCATGCGACTGAAAAATGTGCAGCATAAATTATTTTCACATTTTTAGGAAGAAAAGACGTTTATCTACAACATATTACAATTTCATAATATTTCTTGACGATCCGAAAACAGCCTCATCGAAAGTCCTCCTTTCATAAGTGTACCTTACAGTTTTGCCAAATAAGTGCCAAATCCTGGTCTACAACTCCTTAAATTAATATGGAAACTTTTTGAAATATATTTTACATTATACATTATATCTGTAATTGTTGTTTAACACATTCTATTCTAAAATCTATAGCCTTTTATTTTGTGAAATTGATAGTGTTTAAGTGACTCTTGATAAGACTGTAGAGCTCCGTGTAAGTCTCCCACAATTTGCTGACAGATCCCAAGTATTTGCCAGGATATGTCTCTTAAACGTAAAGGAACATACTTCCCATCATCATAGAGTAACAGTGTCTGTAGGTCTGTCAGTGAATGTAAACACTGAGATCTATTACCTAATCGGTAGTGAGATAACACTGACAACATCTCTACCAGAAGAAACGGTGATAACTGTAGGATATACCCTCCATTTTGTTGACTCACATTTTGTTCTAAATATAATTCTTCAATACAGGGGATATTATGCATTAAACACACATCACTTACCCATGCTATTCCTATTCTTCTATACAAAGACAGATTACCTACAGCTTCATTGTACCTTTGCCCATCAACAGTATATTTATACATAATAAAGACCTGCAATAGTCTACCTTTAGCGAGATAAGTGATATGTAGTGTTTTATCATATCTCCCTGTTCTATAGTAATACAATGCCAGATAAAGTAAATAAGACACACAACCTAATCTTGCTGCCATTTTCAACATGCCGCAAATTATTGCATCTAAGTTATAGATATTTTTATGTGTACAACATGAAGCACTGTTTGCCATTGTGAAGGCTAAATGAACAAGAGTCTGAGCAGTACCATACTGTAATGTTAACAACTGGTGTGGTGATATTGATAACCGATATAGTGTGTCAATTGATTTCAAATAAAGATAATATTCCCATGTTTGTTGAGCAAATAAAGTTTTTTTTATATATATATTTCAATCATACCACATATATCTAAATCTGCAATACTCATGAATTCTCCATCATCAGCAGATAATTCAAACGATGGGCTACTGAGGGCAGGTTCTAGGATTGATCTGAGAGTCGGACTCAGCAGTAGACAGGACACACCCATTCTGTAATACTGATAAAGCTGTTGTAAAGGAGAGGAACGTGCACCCTCAACTATTTTTTTTAGGAACATACTATTTTCTGGAATAAAAAAATTAGGAAACAATCCATGATAAACACAATATAGGAGATATTTAAAACACTTCCAAAAGCAATCCAGTAAATTGTTTGGGCACCATCTTACGTGTCCTAATTGCATCATCCAGAACACCGTGGTCTTCATGTAATAAGAACACAGTAATGGTTCCTTTCTGTAGTTAACAACTTCCTTTAAAAATATTTTCAGAAGTCCGTAACATAGAAATTGTGTATGATTCATCGTGCATACTAATTGGTGTTCGGCTTGAGAAAATGACAATCTCCATTCCAATTCGTTTGAAGTCATATCAACTTTACTACCAATAGGCACACAGTGACATTCATTTTTTAGGATTTTTTCTAACACAGGTACAGACGGCCAGGTATGTCTCTGGCATCTGTCAACCCAACTTCCTAATAGTTTAGGCCAAGGAAAAGAAGCTAGACAAAAAGCTTCATCAAATTCATGAAAATCTATTACCCAACTACTACAGGGACCATGGATTCTGAAATTTAAAGAGTTTGAAGAACTCCCATTCAGGATCTGAAGAAGTGTTTCTCTCCACAGAGGACTAGTTATGTAAACCCCTCCATTAAAGAGAACTAGACATGATATCGTGATTTCGTCTCGTGCTGGTGTCAGGAGGCGTAGTCTGACAAATCCTGGTGATGTATCAGAATCTTCCATTAGCACAATTAAATGTTTTGATGCATTAAAAAGCCGAAACTGGGAAATGTCAGTTATCAATTTATAATGACAAAACCACCGCATTTTATCGAAGTCAGAGGATTCAAACCTAAATCCCTCTCTAAAACTACCACTCTCCATCACACCACAACCTTTATGATTAAAATAAGGTTTCCGTATCATTTCCTCTATGTCGATCACGTCCCTTCTGATGGCCACTTCTGTCGGTGTGCCTATCTTACGACACAGACCAACATACAGGACCTCTGATAGACGGGGTATTTGGTCCATTCTTAAATGTAATCTATAAAATGAAAAATAATAAATTAGTAACATGTTTGAAAAATGCAGCATTTTTGCAATGCAAATTAAGTAGATATGCCAAAAAAATATTAGTTAGTATTGTCAAATCGGTGACGTTGAGCAACAATGCGGCGCACCAAATTATTACTAAGTGCTATGTTAAGCTGGGTATGACTACTGTTCATACTGGAAAAAATTAAGACGATGAGTCGTTGAATACATATATCGATCACTGGTTTATACTTAGTTAAAGAGCTTCAAAGATGGCTCAACTGATTATCCGATGGAAGTGGCAGACGTACAAAAATAACGACAAATTAAATATTTAATTTATTAGGTCTTTCCACCATTCTGTGGAAAGACCTATTGAAATTGTTCTGACTATTATTATTATTAATTTCTTCCGCTGATTTTTTGTTTCGAGGTTTATCGAAAAGATTCTTTGTTCATCGTAATCTTAGAAAGTTATGAACAAATTTGACCCAACGCGTATAACCTACTGTAGATTCCTAAATATATGTGAAGAATTGATTATCGCGTAATTACGCGAGAAAAACCACTCGCGAAATAAAATTACTCGCTTTAATTTTTGGTACTGAAATCCTTATAAAATATCTTAATCAAGCGTCCACTCGCGAATTATACTTCTCGCGATTTGTCGTCTAAGGGCCCTTTCGCGATATTAAGTACTCGCGTAAAATAACGAATCTACAGTATGACCCCTTCTGCAGTTATTGCCCCTTTCACTAGATACCTTGTTATCGCTACTCCGACGAAACCGTAAACCACAGAGGTACGAAACCTTCACCAATGTCTTCGACTAACTGAGTACTCTTTTCAATCTATTCATTGCGAAAGTATTCGTTGTCCCCTTTTATGAGCTATAGCCCCTGAAAGTTTTTAATGTTTACGAATAATTAAATTATTTTCAAAACGATAGGTCGTAGACACATGCAACCAACTGCATTAGATTCTTTGACCTCAGACCTTGAAGGTCACGGTCATTTAAAAGATGAGAAATTTTAATTAAAAGTTTTTTATAGCTCTTTTGTCTTTTAACATATACTTTATATCTTTGCATCTTTAATATGTCCTCTTAAAACTATTTCAAAGATTTAATACTTGTTACCCTTTTAAAAGTTATTGCCCCTTTCACTAAAAACCTTGTTATCGCTACTCCTTCGAAACCCTAAAGTGCAGAGACACCAAACCTTCCCTTATGTCTTAATGGTCTTTAGACACAACTTCAATCTATTCAGTGGGAAAGGATCTGATGACCCCTTTTATGTGTTATCGCCCATTAACATCTTTGCGCTTACCATTAAACCTTATAACTTTAATAAGAAGTATTGGTTCAAGTGCAGAGTGACTCTTAACCTTTGACTTTGAATATTCGTTCAAGGTCAAAGGTCAAGGTCATTTCAAAATTTTCATTTTTTCCATCCTTTAAGCCATTTCTGGTTTCTCTTGTATAAATATATTAAAGAGCAAGGTTCACTTCGGCCTTTTTTGGCCCTGTGAATTTCAGAAAAACTGAAACTGCTTGGTTTTAGTTGACAATGCATTAAATATCATTTAGACTTTTGGTGACTGCTTATCAATCAAAAATGACGTAATTTTCTGGCTAGTCAATGCATTATGACGTCATGAAATGCGTCATTTTCCTCATATCCCGAAAAATTCTACAAAAACAGCCAATTTTTAAAGCTATTTTTCGATATTTGATATAGAGCGCAACCTCTGATCTAAAATGTGCAACTATTAAATGATAGAACTATTTCTGAGGATTACAAAACATGTTTTATTTTTTAGATCAGAAGGTGCGCTCATATTATTTCTCTTCTGTGAAAGTACTCAAATATACTTGTTTTCCTTAAAATTCAAGAACATTGCAATTCCATGAAGCCTGTTTTCCAAGACCTTGGCTTTAAGAAGAAAATTTTTAATAGGATTTGAAAGCACTAAGTCTCTACTTTATCTTGATTTTTAAAATGGAACATAAAGCGTTAGTCAATAAATTGGTATATCTACAGGGCCATTTTATGCATAAAGTGAACCTAGCTCTTTAAAGAAGGTGGAAAGAAATCAAATTGTTCGAACACAATTAGTCTAGTAGTTATTATTATGTCACCCCGGACGAAGTCGGGGAGACATATTGTTATTGTTCGACAAATAACGAGGTCCACACAATGTCTCGAAGATGCCTCTGTCAATCTTGATGAAACTCTACTGTCATAATGATCACTAACTAAAGATGTGTAATCTTTCTTCAAAATTTTCAAAATGGCAACCGTTCCCATGGAAACGGATAAAAAATTGTATTTTTTAAATTTCATCTTTCTCGGCTGCTTTTAATTAAAAAAAAATTGAAAATTTAAAGAATTGTTCATTGCTTCCTGTCAAAAAGATTTAGGCAAAAAAAAAAGTTGGAAAAGGATGGACGGAAAATACGAGTAGTTGAAGAAAAGTTGATGTCAGATGACCAATTTTGAGTTAAATTGCTTGTGAGTCCTGTCCTGCAAGTTTCTTGAAAATGACCTGGAAAAACTTACTGAAACTTTATAGAAATGATAATCACCAACTGTAGTTCTGCTAAAACCCTTTAAAATTTTCAGATTTGTCACTGTTGCCATGGCAAAAGATAAAAATAATATTTTTTAAATTTCGTTTTTTTTTTTTCTGAAATTTTTCATAAAATCTGTTTTGTAACTTTAATGAGTTGTTAGTCGCATCCTATCAAAGTGATTCCTGCAAAATAATGGAACAGAATGGACAAAAAGAACGATTAATTTTTAAAAAGCTGCAGTCGAGTCATCTATTTCGCGATGTTTTCACACTTGGTTTTGTCCTTAAATGTTCTCGTAAAAGGCTTTGACAATATTATTGAAACCTTCCACAGAAATAATAATCACTATTCGTAGTTTTGCAAATCTCATTTAAAATTTTCTCCAACGTTGCCATTAGAATAGAAAAAAAAAATAATTTAAGTGCAGTTTCCTAAAACGAGTGGCCAAAAACGTTGGGTAAACGTTTATGTTTCATCTTTTTAAAATTGTGATTTATTCAATTTCTTTGTCTTCCTAATTTCTTTTTCCGTAATAATCCTAGGATACATAAAGGTTCGTCTATGAAGCTTTTATATATTACCAGTTTCTTGATATGATTAAGAAGAAAGTAAATATCTTAGCATTTTCAAAAAAAAAAACAACGTAGGACCAGCATTTCCTTAAACATTACAAACTATTCATTTCATTTTCATTTATGTAGTTTACGGGACTCTACTGGAGTAATACACATAATACGAAGTGCAGAGGTGTGACTTCTCTGGTGACAGAGAAGACACGGAAAACTTTCATATTGTTATAGCAATGAGTTTCTGTCAAATAAAAAGGATTGTATGTGGTATATAACTTGTGGGCGCATTTGTATTTACCTCTTTTCAAATAAAGAAGACAATGACATATTTTAGTATTTTATCCCCCCCCCTTTTCCTCTCTGTCCTTTTTTTCTAATTGTTAACAAACAAGTTTTGTTTAATGTCTTGGATTCTGATTAAATGCCCTTGCCCATTATATTACAAACAACCCTTCGTCATAAAGATTTCAAAATGCTAAGGCTTCACACTTACTACAAAATGATTGTTAATTTACATGTGATTTTCAATACCCCCCCCCCCTTCGAAACAGCGAGGTAGAAAATGCAGGTATAATTGATAAGGAAGATCTTAAGGCTTTCATGAATAAAATGTAGTGCCGCTGATGTGATCTGATATTTTACCAGCATTCATTCTTCTTCTGTTTTTTTCTATAGAATTTATGATTATTATATTTAATACATATTTTTTAAGTAGGATTTTCAGCTGAATTCATTAGCATTTTGAGTTTTCTTGTGAATGTATTACTTGCATATGAATAATTTCATTCAATGATATTAAGAATTGTTGAAACTTAATTTCCGTCATTTTTATTAATTGAAAATCCTTGGATCCGCTCCCGCAGGTGGGTAAAGGCTTCATCGCTACTATAGATAAAACAATCAGCACGCCGGAAATGTTCATGGTTCTTCTAAACTAAGAAAGTTTACACATAGTTTGTCATCTCATAAAAACAAAAATCAGCCCCTGTCCAGTGCAGACATGTCCGAATTGAAGAGGAAAATTCAGGAATTATTTTGCTTCAGCCATGTTTTGACATGAACCTTGAACGACTTCGCAAGCTCTACTTTCACTTCCCTTAACTATGGTCGACCAAACCTAGCAACCGTAACTTGTTTCGTTTGTGTGTAAAGGTGTGTGAGGGGGGGGGGGGGGGCTTTTTCTACAAATACCCATTTCTTTAAGCATTGAACAATCTTAAAGCTTATGGTTTGGTTGGGGTGACATAAGCTATTGCTGTGTCCTAAACCTAATAAATCACTGAATTATTTGATGAAATGTTTCATCTTCATTGTTTACTGAACATCTTTTATTATACTATACCGTATCATTAATTAAACAAGATGTGTTTGTGAAACACTAATGCCCCCGTATGGCAACTTATAGCGAAGGTTAAACTCTGTCGGATGCAAATTAAATATGTTGGTACCCAAAGTAAGATCTCGTCCCGAAAATATACCTGTAAAATATGAAAGTCCTAACAGCAACCATTGAAAAGATATGGAAAAGGTAAAAGTTTTTCAAAAGTAGGTCAAACTCCAAGGTCAAGGTTAAAGTGTCAAAGTTGTTTGTATCCAAAGGAAGATCTTGTCACAAGAAGTACATATGTGAAGTATGAAAGCCTTTGCACCAAACGTTTAAAAGTTATGACCAAGGTAAAAGTTTTTCAAAAGTAGGTCAAACTCCAAGGTCAAGGACAAAGCGTCAAAGTTGTTGGCATCCTAAGGAAGGTCTTGTCACAAGGGCTACACATGTGAAGTATGAAAGCCCTAGCACTAACTCTTCAAAAGTTATGATCAAGGTTAAACTTGGGTAAAATTTTGTAAACTGCGTC